GAAACAACACTATCAAAGTAAAAATAAAAGACAAAAGAAAACAAATCAGAGTCTAATGTCTTGCTGAAGTACATTTACAACATTTTTGGTATGTTGAGCAACCACCGAAGGAGGGCAACAAAACTTTTTTCTCTTGAAAATTGGGCAAAAACATCTATTGAAATTCTGGGCAAAATTCTGACAATATGAAATGAACATATAACATAAAAGTACAACTGAGAAATATACAACAAGAGTTCCACGATCTCATACCTTCGCCAAATGATGTTACCCTTGGGCCTTGATGAATGTTGACAAAATTATTTGCATTAATCAAGAAAACAAGATCTGAAGATCCCCATTTGCATGAATTATATCAGTTGATCATGTTATTCACCTAATGACAGTCTTGACTTGAAAAATGGCTAATCTAGAATTTCTTCATAAATTGTGCAAATAAGGTCCTGATTTGAATATATTATTTCTAGTGATGTCCACCTTCACTTTAACTTAAAAATGCCACAAGTACATGTATTTCCTGCAGTTACTATGGAATTATAGCTTTTTTGCATTAATTATGCAAATTGGGCCTTCATTTGCATAATTACTATCTGACAAATGTTCTTCTTCACATTCACACATGGCACTTGTTTGAATAATCATATCATGGAAGGTAGCAGATTTATAGAATTTCCTTAATTATGCTAATTAGCTGCTGATTTGCATAACTATTGTATTAATGTCAAGCATTCTGTAAGCTACCCACATACCAAAAATCATGATAATCCGTCGATCAGTTCTTGAGTTATCCTGAATATTTTTCATCGAATGCTTCTGCAGTTCTAGAACATGCCCCTAAGGGGCCCAAATGTCGGACCGGAGTTTCCTTCTGTGTTCGGAGCAATGTGACACCCTCAGCCCGACGGGCTGTCATTTCTGTACTAAACGCGGGTCGGAATCTTTCACTCTTTTGATGGAAAGGGGTGCCGTGCCGCTTATCAATACACTTAATTGATATTTTGTGCGCCCAATTTATTTAGGGGTAAATAAGGCACATCAAAGTACATTTTTAAGTAAGGGGTCATTGTTAACCATGCCTGCATGGTCAAAACAAATTTTCCCAGGGTAACGGCTTAGTACTCGAAGAAGCTCAGAACCTAATGTTTCCAAAATCTAAATTTAATTAAAATCAATGTGATACGTTTACTGCTATGTTCAAACACACCCACAACGCATATAGACCATCCCGGCAGTCAGGCAAAAAGGCCACATAACCATCCGCGCGGACTAATACCAGGAAGTCTTCGCTGGACCACCAACATTACGCCACCTATAAAGGCTACAACTAACAGGCTTTTCAGAAAATACAAAGATATGTATACAGCTACAGATATTACGATTTCAGGGATATTGCGGCCAAAACATGATACTATACAGAGTCACGTTTCTGGCAACATACTGCACACTTACAGTACTTAGACTGGTCAGATTTAAACTCCGATCCAGAACCCAAACTCATGACAAATCTTACCCAGCTCAAGAGCTACCTACCATCCAAATTTAATCACCCTACCATGTCCAGATATCACAAGATGTCAAAACCAGAAGTTCAGCTGCAGTACCATAACAAGCTGCCAGGGGGTCCAAAATCTAATCAGTCGAGGTCTCATCAAGACCTACATGTACCAACCTACCACAATCCATCTTAGCCTTCTTGAGTTATTGTGTTCACACACACACACACACACATGAACGCCAACGAAAACATAACCTTCTTGGCGAAGGTAATGAGTGTCTTAAGTGCCACGCCCTCCCACCAACTCCTGTCACCCCCACACAAACACTATTTAGCCATGTGCCAATTTGGTCTTGTCATTCACCAGCAAAAACAACTTATTTCAATATTTGCCTTCTTGCTTTTCATCACTATCGCTGTCATCTGTTGCATACTCCTATCAAATCATTGCAATATTCGCTCTCCAAATCCCTCATTTGGTGGAAAAACTTCCACAAAACTAGCCCCAAATGACTCGTTTTATGTGCTGGTTACAAAGTCAATAAGCTACAAGTGTTCTGGTTAGTCAATTCGTGATTGTGCCTCTTTTGGAAGATTTAAACTGAACCATGATTGTGGCTCATTGTGCTGAACTGCAAAGCCATGATAATGGTTCATTGTGCTCAGGAGACATACAAAATTCAGATGACGTCCTTCCTAAGTATGACATTTTCTACATATTCTTAAACAAGGTAAAGTGTATAATCAAACAGATCCAGTAAGTCAACGGTCTACAGGTCTTCAAGCAAAAAAACTTTAAAAAGTGGCACTGAAATTGTTCAGATACATACCAAGACCAGTAACTGTTACAAGCAGAGTTGCCTGCATCTTCCCAAGTGCATTTTCTGCTATGCAAGTGTAAGACCCCTCCTGTTCCAGGCCCACGCCTTAAAGAAGAGACATTTTCTGTTAAACTTAAACACTTTTGTCTTTGTCACCTTCATGTGGTCTTGATGTAGTGTTATTTAGTGACTGTATAAGATAGGCACTGTGTGGTAAGGACCAAGATTTAACAGTCATGTATTAACTATAATATATTAACCTGTCACAATGACAACAGATGACAATAATGACATGCATTAAGTAGAATACATTGTATACATTTTGTACTGGTAACATTATTTGTGTTTAGTGGGACGAGTACACTCGTGTCAACAAGTTCTTTCTGCTTTCAGGTGGTTAATGGTTTTCTTACTTTGTATCAATAATCCACTGTCTAGTTGCTTGTAGTGCCTGTCTGACAAGTCAACAGGCTGGCTATGGTGTGTCCACCTTATGGTTGGTGTTGGAGAGCCCACGGACTCACATGGTAGTGTTACGTTGTAACCAATGTCTACTCCCACGTCAACAGGAGCTACTGAGAAGGTAGGCTGAACTGCAAGGACAGTTCATAAAAAAGGCAATTAAACTGTTTTCCTTACCTCATCCTCCTTGTAGATTATCACAAAAGGTGAGTTTTCCTTCAATATGACATCTATTGATCAATGCACCAATCACATGGTTCAAAGCAACCTGGGGCCACACCAATTTAATTTGTTGGTTCTCGGATTTTTTCAGAAAAAATATGAAGCGACAGGGCGAAAAAAAATAAAAATAAAAACAGGTCTAGGCATCCCATTATAGGTTTAAATGATACGGAATGAGTCATGAAGTCAACACAAAAGGCTGGGTTAAAGTTTAAACATTGAATTTTGAACTTTTAATCAAACCACTGCAATGATAGATGGGAAAACTGTAACAACTAGGAAGAAAAGGACTTTCCTCAACTGTTGGGGGGCAAAATATGAGCATTTTTCAGTTGATTCAGGACCAGAATCAATTTTTTTTTTTTGCAAATCAGAAAAAACGAAGAGGCGAATCCGAGAACCAACAAATTAAATTGGTGTGGCCTGGGGATGGATTATAACATGTAACGGGGGTGCCCTAACATTGGAACGCTTTTTCACACGCTTGAACTCACGGCGTTCTATTGCTAGTTGTCAGAGAGTGGTCAGGTTTTGATGAATGAATTTTGAGAACATTAATTTAAACAACATACTTGGATAAGAAATGCATTCATACTATTCATGAGCCCTTCATGCTCCACATTACAAGTGACAAAATGTGAGACATTTTTGTGAATGTACCTTCGTGAACGCGGCTACACTAGACAGTGTGCCCTAATATTGGACGCTTTTCACAATTTTGCTCTCTTCAGACGATGATGATGAAAATAGTAACAAAATTAGATTCTAGAATAGAATTTTATGGACATTGTAGCTTTCTTTCGACAGTAAAATTGCGATTGTGTATACTTGTCGTCTAACGAGAGGAGGGTAGTATCTAACGCAATCAGTCCGTGTTTCCACGCAATCAATGCAGTCCCATGGAAATCATGCGACATGATGCAGACAACAGTGGTGTTGACGTAGTTTTCAACGGGTCGGTTATCTACAAAACACTCAGACCCACATATGTACGTATGAAACTAGTCCATCCAGCCGTTCTTGAGTTATCTTGTTGACAGACGACGGACAACACAACTGAAAATATAACCTCCATGACACATTTCATGGAGGTAAAAATGGGTCTGAACTTAGGCCCGGAGTTAGGGCACATCTGAAGTTAGGGCACCCCCCGTTATTTTGTCAACTCTAAACCAGTTTACAAAACAACAACAGATTTTAAGTATTAATTTTGTAAGTGTAAAGACAAGTACTATGTCATGTAATACCAAAGCTTACTGTACTATACAAAATGTACCATGGTACAATGTATTTACATGTAATTTATCATCCTTGTGTTTGTTTGGTCATCTTCCTCTCCCCACGAACAACATATGCACAACGTCATGTACACATGTATGTACAATATCATTTAGTTCATGCTGCATAGTCAGAGCCAAAAGACAATAGTATTGGTACGATTGTTGATGGAGGACATGTACATACATTCAACTTCAAGGAAACTGCTGATGGAGGTGGATCCAACCGCATTAGTTGCTACACACACATACTCCCCACTGTCAGCCAGCTGTACTCCAGTGATCTCCAGCTTGCCATTCTACAAAACAGAATCATCATCAGCACCTTTTTACTTAGTACCTTATTCCACACAAATTCAATTTGTGGTCCTCAGATTTTTCCACAAAAAAACTGCTGCAGTACCGTGGTAAACAATGTACATGCACAATGTACATACACAATGACCTTTGTTTTCTGAAGATCACATCCCAAATATCATCACTATCCATTTGCAGCTTCTTGAGTTATTGCTGAGCAACACATTTCTGGAAACACAAACAGAAAGACAGACAGACAGACAAATCTAAAACAATACTCCCATTTTCAGAAGGTAAATTGTCATTTAATTTACTAAAATGTACAGTTTGTACCTACCAGAATTTTTATGTAAGGAAGGTCACTCAGCTCTTCCTTCCCTTTCAACCAAGTAAAAGAAGGGGCTGGAATTCCAGAGGCTTTACACTCTAAAACAGCTGTATCTCCTTCAGACACTAGTTGAGAGGCAGAGGAAACCTCAACAGTGGGAACCTCTAACAACAGGGAAAAAAAATTATTTATTTAGAATTGCAAACATCGCAAAACAACGGGGTGCCCTGGCAGCCATGGCTGATATCGGGCCCCACATATAAACAGACATATACATAAGTTAAGTCATAATTGTAAAATTACCTTACATCAATACATAACATTTGGCACATAACTATTATAATATTGTAATATAGTTTGGAGGCCAGAGGTCAATCATGTATAT